ACAGAGATGGCATAGGTAAAGAGCAATAGTCCCGCTCGACCTCGCCCCATCCGATTTCATTTATCCAACCAAGGATATTGGCGTGTAATTAATTATATTTTCTTTTCAGTCCTGCTGCGCGCCTGTCCTGGCGAGCCCTGTTATTATTATTGTATTTCTTTTATGTAGAGATAGCAGCCAAGCTTTTAGTTTAAAATATAGCTCTGCCAACTCTGTTGTGCTTTGCCTTTTAGTAAGTTTGCCACTTAAGATCGTACCGTTATTTTGCCGTTTCCAGAAGTCATTAGCGGCGCATAACCGGAGTGACAGATGACAATGTAAATAGATGCGCCGCAAGCAAACATTTTTTAATTTTCAAGGACTAAATGCAACTGGAAATTTTTAGTAGCACTTACAATATTATAGAAAACTTGATGATCACGAGCAGGTTTTTTATTCAGATTTTATAAAAATAATACGCAACTATTTGGATATTTTATTAATCCGCTCTCAAATAATATATAGGAATACATTTCCATGTCATTTTTTATTATGAAGATCTTCGCCAATAGCCCTACTATAACCGTAAATAAATATTGTATTATAATTTATTCGACTCAAAAGTATTTACATTTTATTGAAATTGTTATTAAATAGTACCCTATTTGGGGTACTGCCTTGCACTGTAATAGTTAAGTTTATTAATATAAAATAGTAATACTCCTAGCCTAGCATAACATTTATTTCCTTGAAAAATCTATTTTTCTATTTTAAACTTGTCACTTTTTGCACATTGAATTAAGACCTTAGCCGTGAAATCTTTGTTACAAAAAAACGAATATATTTTTAACAAATAATTTCCTTGACATAAATATATACTATTCATTCCTAACACATACATATCTTAACTTCAAACCAATATGCCCTCTAGCATCATTTAAATTTGTTTAACATTCTCTAATGTACTATTTGTTTCCGAAGAAATTATGTATGCCAGATCGCGCCCGAAACCAGCATTTGTTTACCGTAAATGTACAACAAAGAAACTGTTCTCTGGGTGTAGCATTATATTTTAGTTTATTTAAAAAAAAGTGAATAGAAAAAACAAAATAAACTAAAATAATTCTTTGAAAAGCTCTAGGCGTATATATTCCTTTAAGTTTAAATATAAATTTATTCGTGACGTTTTATAATACTCACTAGCTGTTGGATGCCACCCAACTCGTTTATGGGTGCCATGAACAATTTAAGATTCTCCAAGATGAAATGTTAAAATAAACAGTCATTTGTAAAATGTCTGAAAAAATATAGGCGGTACTCGACGTTTGTAGCTGGCAATTTTATTCTCTATAAAGTTGGTTTATGAAAATGAGCGTGTTGATACCAGCCGGTATTTCACTTTTAACTTTTTAAGTATCCGTTTCAAAGGTCTCACCGCCGAATATAGTCTGTTCTCTCGTAAAATGAATGAAAAAGTGCATATGTTTTATTGAGAAAGACAATTAAAATCTTGATTCTGTCAAATTTTGAATATTTTTAGTTCTGATTATGTTCTACGAATCATATCATATTCAAAAAATCATGAATAATAACTTTAAACTGATTATCATCACCATTTTCCCAAAGTCTAAGTAACTATACAGGATGTTTTCGAGTAAGTTAGAAAAGCTCATTGGAATAATTAAAATATGAAAAGAATATCCTGTTCTTTGAGGTAATATTCGAAAATATTAGATTTTCTAGATAAGTTCATAACTAGGAAATCATAATTATTTACACCACAAAGGAGATAAGTATTATTTGCCAGTCGAGGACGATTTTGCGCCCGAGCAGAGCGAGGGCTGGCAATAGAGTCCGAGAGTGATAAATTATACTTAACTGCTGCGTGGTGTATAACATTTTATCTGCTCCCACAGTTCTTTCTGGTTCATGAAATAAAGATTAGGTTTTATTTTTTGACATTCCTTAATCAATTCATTTTGACATTATTCGAAATCTTGTAAGTCGCCTTGGTTGTTTGGATTTTATCGTTTCTAAGTTGTTTATAAACAAAGCTACATAAAAGTTGCAAATTTTGCTGGCTTTGAATTATTATTTCTAAATGAGTGATTTTCAAATAGAAAGTGCAGCAAATGCTACCTGCGAATTTTTATTGTCCAAGAAGTCGAAAGTGCGCTACGGACTATATAGAAATTTCAGAGAATGGTGCCAGTACAAAAATGCTGGTGTTTCTGAAATGTCACTGCTAGCATATATTCATAGAGAAGTCAAGAATTTTAAAGTCACCGGCGAGTTTGTGGAGAGAATACTCAATGATTAAGTCAACTATTTTCATAGAGGAGAACGTGGATATATCAATATACCCCAAGCTGAGAGCATTTTTGAAACGTAAGAATGACGTCTATACACCTAAAATATCAAACGTTTTTACAAGAGAACAAGTCAACGATTTTCTCGTTCAGGCACCCGATAACACATATTTGCTAATGAAAATAGTGACGGTCTTAGGCATTCCAGGAGCATGCAAACTTACTTTGGACAACGTCAATTTCAAAAATGTTGATGACATTGTATTCCAGATTCTAAAAATGGTATGTCACGTACGTTTACAATTACGTCTCGTCTGGGTTCTGTTTCTCACCTAGACATTCTCAAGAAATATATCAAGATTAGATTGGAAATTAAAACTGAAATTTCACGCTTTCTTATGCGCTATCAACCAACCAGCCAGCAAGAATACCCTTTCTATGATTCATAATAAGATTGCACAGTTTTTGAAACTAGAACATCCTGAAACATATACAGGCCATTCATTCCGCAGAACATCGGCAAAGTTACAGGAGCTAATACAGGGTTGGTGTATTAGCATTCAAGAGACATGGTNCGAGCAGAGCGAGGGCTGGCAATAGAGTCCAAGAGTGATAAATTATACTTAACTGCTGCGTGGTGTATAAGATTTTATCTGCTCCCACAGTTCTTTATGATTCATGAAATAATATAGATTAGGTTTTATTTTTTGACATTTCTTAATCAATTCATTTTGACATTATTCGAAATCTTGCAAAGTCGCCTTGGTAGTTTGGATTTTGTCGTTTCTAAGTTGTTTATAAACAAAGCTACATAAAAGTTGCAAATTTTTCTGGCTTTGAATAATTATTTCTAAATGAGTGATTTACAAATAGAAAGTGCAGCAAATGCTACCTGCGAATTTTTATTGTCCAAGAAGTCGAAAGTGCGCCACGGACTAGTACCTATATAAAAATTTCAGAGAAGGGTGCCAGTACATAGAGAAGTCAAGAACTTTAAAGTCACCCGCGAGTTTGTGGAGAGAATACTCAATGATTAAGTTAACTATTTTCATAGAGGAGAACGTGGATATATCAATATACCCCAAGCTGAGAGCATTTTTGAAACGTAAGAATGACGTCTATACATCTAAAATATCAAATGTTTTTACAAGAGAACAAGCCAACGATTTTCTCGTTCAGGCACCCGATAACACATATTTGCTAATGAAAGTAGTGACAGTCTTAGGCATTCCAGGAGCATGCAAACTTACTTTGGACAACGTCAATTTCAAAAATGTTCATGACATTATTGTATTCCAGATTCTAAAAATGGTATGTCACGTACGTTTATAATTACGTCTCGTCTGGGTTCTGTTTCTCACCTAGAAATTCTCAAGAAATATGTTAAGATTAGATTGGAAATTAAAACTGAAATTTCACGCTTTCTTATGCGCTATCAACCAACCAGCCAGCAAGAATACCCTTTCTATGATTCATAATAAGATTGCACAGTTTTTGAAACTAGAACATCCTGAAACATATACAGGCCATTCATTCCGCAGAACATCGGCAAAGTTACAGGAGCTAATACAGGGTTGGTGTATTAGCATTCAAGAGACATGGTGGGTGGAAATCAGTCACAATTGCAGAAAGTTATGTTGCTTTAAGAAACAGTAACAAAAATTAAATAGCCCACAGGATTCTTTACAATTACACTTCAACTCTAGGTTCTAGTAGTACGTCGCATAATGCTGTTTTAATTGATCATTCAGATAATATTTAGCTTCCGGTGATTAAAATGGAGAGGTCAAATCATTTCGACAGAAATGTGACAATTAGTAAACGCGAGGGGAATAATTATTATTATCCAGATTTTATAAATGTTACTAAATGTATCTAATAACTATACAATTACTATAAATATTCATTCATAGAAGTTAATAAGATGTAATGTTTATTAAATATTTCTATTTACTTGTTCATAAAATATGCATTTATAACTCGAAACACTGAATGATGAAATTTTTTACTTTTTTACTGAACATGTACATATTATATACTTGAGTCATTATTTTTTTTTACTTAGTTAACGTTAGGGTTATTTTATTAAATCGAAAATAACTGAAGAACCAATGGTTTCACAAAAAAAAGTTAAGGCTTTATAGATACACGATTTTATTTACAAAATTAATGAGGAATCCCACTAAATCATTGGAAATTATTTCCGATACTTCTATTCTCTCCTTCACTTTTTTACATTTATATTTATGGATTCCTATTTGTTTATGTTGTAGGACTCTATTCTATGCTCCAATAAGCATTGAATCACACCAGCAAAACATAGTAAACAGCATACATAACATAAGATACATAACATAACAAACAATTATCCAAAATATCTGATATCCGAGAACATTTGATAAGATTTTTTAACAAAAAATTTTTGATTTTGTTTGATTTACCCATTCAATTCAATTCTATAAAACCACAATGTAACTTAGAGTTGCTATGTCTTTAGTAACGGCGATTTAGAAATGTTGCTCTTATGGAGACATTGCCTTAGAAGCTAATACAGAAATTACAACCTTGTAATTAATACAAACATCGAATACTGATTAAAAATTCTTTCCAGTATCATCATCAGTACCAAATAATATACATTGGAGGCTAGTAGGTATAGTATGTTCAATAAAAAATGTAGTTAATAATAAACTGAAAACAGATCTTACTCACTTGTTTTGGACCTTGGTTCCCTAGGACCATCTACAGTAACTTTAATAGCTTTATTGTATGTGGCAATCTGGGGCGGACTAGTAGACACCATTATCGTCAGGGTGAAACTCTTCCCTGGAAGAAAGGAAATGCTTTAGAAAAATTGAATGATGGTAGTTGATGGTACTATAGATTCCAAGTAATTATTTCCAAGCAAATGTGTATACTTTGTACATACGTTATATTATTTACTTGTTGGTTAATTAAATCTTTTGGTAGGGCATAATACAGGGTGAGTCAGAATTCGGGCTCGAGAATATGTGAATAAGATTTTCATGTGACCATTTATCCAGAACTACTCTCTTCAAGAAACAGGATGAACAAGTTAAAGAAAAACTGCTATTTTTAATATTTTTCCAACTATATGGAAATTTCGTATCCGTTACTTTCTACAGTAAAAACAATAAAAAAATTGATTCGAACTGTAAAACATAAAAATATATTAATAAAGGATTACAGAAAAAATATTTTTTTTCCTAGTAAAATTCCGACTGTACTTTTAATTTCTTTTATACCTGATTATGTATAAAAGATACTCGAATTATTTTAACTTTTGGATAAACAAAATCAAGAAGAACATTTTCACTATTTAAGAAGCTATTATCTCGAATGACTGATCATATTCAGTTTAGTATAATTTAATATTTTAAAATGTAATTCAGTTAACTAGCAACAGGTGATTTCTTTTGCGATAACACCGCCAACCAATACAGATATAACAATTTTAGTAGGGCTGCGTATCGTCAGTATGGTCCAAAATGAATAAAAATATGTTAATGACGAGTGTAGCAGTCATTTCAAATTGAAAGCTTCATGGAAAAATGTATATAAATTTTACTTGGTTAAATTAATTAAAACTATTGCCCAGATCTCCGCTACTGGCTGCTTAGGGGATTTGATGTTACCACATATTATGCCAACCTCTCCAGATATGATGAGCACCACCAAATTTAGTTTGGGTATAAATCTCTCCTTTGGAAAATGTAAAAAATTATAGGTTTTTTAAAATTTGGTCACTTTGTACCACGAGAAAGGAGTATTTTTAGAAAAATATTCGTATTAAATATACTATTTAGTTAAAAATATTATGACACTCCCAGGTCTACATCTGACTCACCCTGTATTATTAACCTATAAAGGACCACGCACACATTAATGGAAATCGGGAACCCGTCAAATTCGGAAAATAAAATATGTTATAGTTTGAGATTTAAAGTTATCACGGGCTCAAATATGAATAGTTATCGAGATAAGCGACAGTGAAATTGAGCTAGCCCCTACGCGCTTATCCTTTTTATGGAAAGCCGAATGACTTTTTTCTTTCCATCTCTTTCTCTCTGAGAGAAACAAGGGGAGTTCGCATGTTGCACTTTCCTCTCGAAACAAAGAGAATAATTTTGAAGGATTAAAAAAGCAGGCGTAAAGAAAAAAAGTGAACACAAAGATGAAAAGCGGGTGGAAAATAAGAAAAACGTAGGTACGTAAAGTAAAAAAGTGTCAAGAAGCAAAAAAATCGGGAACAATAAGAAAATACAAGACTTCAAATATAGGACTTTATGATCAGCGAACTTGCCTTCTTTCTCTCAGAGAGAAAGGGCTAAAGATATAAAGAGAGAAGATCCATACGGCTTTCCGTAAAAAGGACTATGCACGAGGGTGGTCTGAAAAGTTTCCGACCTAACAAAGATACAAGACATTTTTTCATACATTTTTTTTTATTTTTCAACATAATCTCCTTGTAACTCTACACACTTCTCCCAGCGATGCTCCCATCTCTGTAACCCGTCCAAATAGTACTCTGCGTTTTTCTCTGCAAAATAATTGTTCATTCATTTGACAAAAATCTGTCCTCCGAGCGCAATTTTTAGATGAGGGAACAAAAAGAAGTCGCTTGGGGCTAGATCTGGTGAGTAAGGCGGATGGTCAAGCAGTTCAAACCGTAATTCGTGGATTTTCGCCATGACAACCGCTGAGAAGGCGAAAACCTCGCATTCGTGGGAGAAATTTTCCTACTCGATTTTTTTGCATATTCAGATTCGTGAGATGTTCCTTAACATGAATCAAGATGATGCCGGCCGGACATCTGGTGCCCATTTGTATAAACAAACTTTTTTAAAACAAATTGTAAAAATTGTTTTTTTCACTTTATTTGGCACATTATAAACAAAAAAGTTCCTATGCACTATGCCTCTAAAATTGATAGTTTTAAAGTTATAAACAATTTAAGTTGCTAAAAATGCGAAAATGACGATTATCAACGACCGATTTCCGGGTTAAAAATTGTAATTTTTTATTTTGCCAGGTACCTAAATTAAAGTCTAAACATCCCCCTATAAGATGCTGAAGAGTTTTTGGGACTGGCATTATTCTAAAGCCTTGTTTTTTAATTGTTAATAAAGCGTTATGAGCCGCACGCCCGCCTCTCTCATACGCGGATTTGTTATTTCGTCCAGCGCCTTCAGCTTTATGTTCTCTGGATTTAGAGTTCTAAGTACTATTACTAGTCATAAAATAATGTAAAAATTGATTATTTAAATTTCATAATTCATAATAATTTTATTTAATTAATTCAAAATTGTACGAATAGAGTGCAGAAAAAAAATAAAAGGGCAATAGTATCAAATACATTTGATTTTTATTAAAGAACATTTATTTAATACTGCATATTATTATTATCACACATTTATTCAATCATAAGAATTCTCACACTGTTCTATGTTACAACCTCATAAAGGTACACAAGTGACATAGTTTTTCATACAAAAACAAGCTTTAGTCTTACAGTTTTTTTTTATACATTTACATTGTTTAACTAAGTCTTTGAGTAATGGAACTTTGGTAATAAATTTAGGTAATAATTCACCTGTTTCATTTTGATAACCAGAAGCTGTGAAATCCAAATATTGATATTGAGGAAAAATCCAACTTTTCCATATGTACGTTTGTAAAGAAGCTCATAGCGCATGATTCACAATTAAAAAAACAAGGCTTTAAAATAATAAGAGTTCCAAAAACTCTTCATCATCTTGTAGGGGGATGTTTAAACTTTAATTTAAGTACCTGGCAACATCAATAATAACAATTTTTAATCCGGAAATCGGTCGTTGAAAATCGTCATTTTCGCATTTTTAACAACTTAAATTATTTTTAACTTTAAAACTATCAACTTTAGAGGCATAGTTTATAGGAAATTTTTTGTTTATAATGTGCCAAGAAACCTAAAAAAAATTCCGGATTGAAAAAAGCAATTTTTACAATTTGTTTAAAAAAGTTTGTTTAAACAAATGGGCACCAGATTTCCGGCCGGCATAATCTTGATTCTTGTTAAGGAACATCTCATCTGAATATGCAAAAAAATCTCGAGTCGGAAAATTTCTCCCACGAATGCGAGGTTTTCGCCTTGTCTATGTGGGACGGTGCGTTGTCTTGATGAAACAGGTTTTTCTTTTTCTGCAAATGTGGCCATTTTTCCGCAAGTTCTGCTTTCAGCTTGTCAAGTAATGATGCGTAGTATGCTCCTGTAATGGTTTTTTCTTTTTGAAGATAATCGATTAAAATAACTCCATGACTATCCTAAAAAACAGTCGCCATCACTTTCTCAGCCGAAAAAACAGGTTTTGCTCTTTTTGGAGCCGGTTCCCCCTCTGCAGTCCACTGTTTGGACTGTAATTTTTGTTTCGGGTGTATAATGGTGTATCCAAGTTTCATCTACAGTAATTAATCGGCGCCAAAACTCGGATTTATTGCGCCTAAACTGCGCCAACACAGCCTTGGATATGTTCATTCGAACACGTTTTTGGTCTAACGTGAGCAAACGCGGCACCCAACGCGCGGACAGGTTTCTCATGTTTAAATGTTGATTTAATATGTGACAAACACGATCTTTTGACATGTTNCCGTTTTCCCGCAAGTTCTGCCTTCAGCTTGTCATGTAATGATGCGTAGTATGCTCCTGTAATGGTTTTTCCTTTTTGAAGATAATCGATTAAAATAACTCCATGACTATCCTAAAAAACAGTCGCCATCACTTTCTCAGCCTCTCTCAGAAAAACAGGGTTTGCTTTTTTTGTAGCCGGTTCCCCCTTTGCAGTCTTTGGACTGTATTTTTGTTTCGGGCGTATAATGGTGTATCCAAGTTTCATCTATAGTAATTAATACAGAGCGTTGGAAATGTTCATTCGAACACGTTTTTGGTCTAACGTGAGCAAATGCGGTACCCAACGCGCGAACAGCTTTCTCATGTTTAAATGTTGATTTAATATGTCACAAACATGTTCTTTTGACATGTTCATAACCTCTGCTATCTCTCTCACTTTAATTCGGCGGTCGTCTAGCACCATTTGGTGAACTTGGGCGATGTTTTCGTCGGTAGTTGCAGTTTTTGGACGTCCCGAACGTTCATCGTCTCCCAAGCTCTTACGGCCACGTTTAAATTCAGCTGCCCAAAATTTCACTGTGGTAAATGATGGTGCAGAGTCCCCATACACAGAATCCAACTCATCTTTGATTTGCGTAGGCGTATTGCCTTTCAAAAACAAATATTTAATGACAGCTCGATACTCGATTTTGTCCATTTTCATAAAAACACTCACATCAACTCACTCAAACGACTGTTACATAACAACTGCGCGTCCAAAATGGATGAAACTTTGGTGAGTAACTGTCAGCAAATGAACAACGAAATTCACTAGCTTTTATGCTGCCATCTTCATGTTGAGGTCGGAAGCTTTTCAGACCACCCTTGTATAAGCGTGTCGCTCATTCAATGTCTCTTAGCTGGATAAGTATTCATTTTTGGGTCTTGGGACCGTGACAAATTTTGATCAGGACATCTCAAACTATAACATATTTCATATTGTCGATTTCCATTAACTGTGTGCGTGGTCCTTTAATAGCCATTTTATTCACTATAGTGCTGCATAGTCTATTGCACCAAAACAAATAAGCTATACATTTTAGCCAAAAATATTTTTACGGTTCCAAATTATGTTGAATTAGGATGGAATATGGAATGAGTAAAAAATACCACGTACGATTGCTAGTACACCATTAGAAATCGTAAAATTAAAGGATTA